CCCAGAGTTTCCTGGTGGGGTTGCTTGTGTCTACCTTCCCTTTCTGTTTCACCTTTTCAAAAAAGTACTTGCACTCAAATTTTTGTTTCATGGTCTACTTCTGGGAGGCCTGAAATTAAAACATGAAGTGGAAGAGAAAGAGATGAGGTTTGAAGAGAGCTGAAGATTTGGAGTAGCCATTGAGGAAAATGGGAGAATCAACAGAAGGGAATTGGAGATGGAGCTGACCATGTGGGGTTGCTGAGTAGAGTTGGGGGGTGTAACCTGGAATGCATACCAAATATCTGCAATGGCATAACTGCTTAATTTTTTTTTCCTTTTAGCAATGCCTAAATTTGAGCTGAAAGAACAGAGAAAAGAAACTGTTTTGAGTCACAATTAGGATTATAAAACATGTTTGGTAGAAGGAGAAGGGGTCCAAGGAATCCTAGCAAGATAATGGTTGAGGTGATGAATCATGGGATCTGGGATGAAGAGGGAAGGAAATGAAACCAAGTCTCTGAGAACATGAGTAAAGGAAGTAGAGATCATAGGGGTCAAGGAGTAAATATAAGAATAAGGAAGTAAGCCAGTTGAAAGAATTAGGAGTAATATTCAGAAAATGAAATAATGGAGTTGAAAATATCAGTGGTAGAGCTGTTCTGACTAATGAATGACAAGGGTCCAGATTTGGCCTTGGAAGTGAATAGCCAAATTTACATACAGTTTGCGACTTGCAAAGGAGAGAGACTGTGTCTTTCCCAGCATCCATATCAATCACCCAAAAGAACTGTGATTGGGGCCACTTCAGTCATTAGGTCAACTGCAGAGCATACCAGTAATTAAAAAAATATATACATATACCTACAAATTTATTAAGATGTAATTGACATACCACGTAATTTACGCATTTAAAATATACAGTTCACTTGTTTCCATATATTCACAGTGTTGTACAACCATCACCACAATCAATTTTAGAACATTTTCATCACCCTCAAAGAAACCTGTACCCTTTAGCAGTCACACACCCCCCACACACACCCCTGTTAACCCTAGACAACCACTAAGCTGTTCTATGTCTCTAAATTTGCCTATTCAGGACATTTTATATAAATGGAATCATATAATATGTGGGCCTTTTTGACTAGCTTCTTTCACTTAGCATAATGTTTTCAAGGATCATCCATGTTGTCTCAGTATCTTCATTCCTCTTTTTTGTGGAATGATTCCATTGAATGGATATATCATATTTTATTTATCCATTCAAGAGTTGATGGACATTTGGGTCTCCACTGTTTGGCTATTATGAATAGCGCTGCTATGAATATCCATGTATAAGTTTTGGGGTAGACATATGTTTTCATTTCTTTTGGGTATATACCCAGGAGTGGAATTGCTGAATCTATGGTAAATTTATGTTTAACCTTTTGAGGAACTGCTAGACTGTTTACCAAAGCAGCTGTACCATTTTACATTCCCACAGCAATGTATAAGGGTTCCAATTTCTCCAAATCTTTGGTCAGAATGTTAGACTATTTTTGATTATAGCCATCCTAGTGGTTGTGAAGTGGTATCTAATTGTGGCTTTAGTTTGTACTTCCCTAAGAACTAATGATATTGAGCATCTTTTCATATACTTATTGACCATTTGTATATGTTCTTTGGAGAAATGTCTATTTAAATCCTTTGCATGCTTTTTAATTGGGTTGTCTTTTACTGTTGAGTTTTAGGAGTTCCTTATGTATTCTGAACACAAGCCCCTTCCTTATTGGATATATCTGATTTGCAAATATTTTCTTTCAGTCTGTGCGTTGTCTTTTTACATTCTTGATACCTTTTGAAGCTCAGAAATTTTCAGTTTTAAGTCCAATTTATTGAATTTGCTTTTATTGCTTGTGGTTTTGGTATTGTAAACACTTCAGTTTTTGTTTGCTTGTTTATTTTCTTCAGGAGTTATTGAAGGAGCTAGCTTGCATAGCCTGGAGAAGATAAAAACCCAGTTGTAGTTATCAGTAGGTGCTTTGTCTGGGAAGGGAGGGATTATGATAGGAAATATTAAAGTATGAAAAAGAAGTACAGAAGGAATTAAGAAAAGTACATAAAAAGTTTCTGTGCCTAGAATTGAAAATCACCATGCCCCATCAAAAATCCTCTTTGGCTTGTTATTGATGATGAATGGCTTATTGATATCTGTACAGTCACACTAACCTTCTTATGGTTTCTATTAATGTAGAACATGATCAATAAAAGTTTGCTGTTACTCCAAGACAACTCAGTGATAACCTTTGTACTATGATATTTTACTAACAAATTGAGTCATGAATTATTTCATTGAACCAAATTGCCAGTTGAATTTCTGTCAAGAGGAAGACTAATTGATTCACAATAGATCTTAGTTGTTTTTTTTTAGTGTTCTTCTCTATATTTTTTTCCTCCTTTCATCCTATATCTTTGAAAACTTTAAATATTAATTCAAGCATTATGTCAAAGTCTATGTACAATTTTATTTAAATCCTTAAAACCAAGACAAGAAATTGTTTAAAGGCTATTGTAAAGAATTTTATAGGGAAATGATTGTCTGTTGTTTCCTTTTAGTTGTAAATAAATATGTTTTTTTTTGTTTTTTTGTTTTTTTTGCGGTACGTGGGCCTCTCACCGCTGCAGCCTCTCCCGCTGCGGAGCACAGGCTCCGGACGCTCAGGCCCAGCGGCCACGGCCCACGGGCCCAGGTGCTCCGCGGCACGCGGGATCCTCCTGGACCGGGGCACAAACCCACGTCCCCCGCATCGGCAGACGGACCCCCAACCACTGTGCCACCAGGGAAGCCCGTAAATAAATATTTAAACTTTGTATTTTGATAAATTTTAACATGTGTATATACCCAGCATTGTGTAAACATCAGCATAATCAGTATAGTGAACATAGCCTCATGTCCCTTTGTAATACCTCCCTTCTATGCCTTCCTGGACCTCCTTTCCCCAAGCAACCACTGATGTGCCTTCCATTACTGTAGACTAGTTTGTGTTTTTTCAGTATGTGGAATTGTACAGTATACTATCGTATACTCTTCTTTGTGTGTAGTTTATTTCACTCAGCATAAGTATTTTGAGATTTATCCATGTGGTTGTATGTATGAATACTTAGTTCCTTTTTATCGCTAAATAGTATTCCATTGAATACTATAAGAAGTATTCCACTTCTTTATCCATTCATCTGCTGATGGACATTTCAGTTGTTTACAATTTTTGGTTATTACATATAATGTCACCATGAACATTTGTGTACAAGTCTTTGTATGTACATATATCTCCTTTTATTTTGAGTAAGTACTTAGGAGTAGAATGACTGCATCAAATTTTAGGTGTATGTTTAACAATTTATGAAACTGCTAAACTTTCAAAGTGGTTGTACTATTTTATGTGTCCACCAGCAGTATATGAGAGTTATAGTTCCTTTGTATCCTTGTCAAAATATGTTGTGGTCAGTCTTTTAAATTTTAGTCATTCTAGTGGGCATGTAATAATGTCTCCTTACGGTTTTAATTTGCATTTTCCTAATGATTAATGATGTTGAGCAGCTTTTCATGTGCTCATTTGCTATCTGTGTATCTTTTTTGTCTGTTCAAATCTTTTGCTCATTGTTTTATTGCTCTCGTTGAGTTTTGAAAGGTCTGTATGTTTTCTGGATATATTTTTATCAGATATGTGCTTTACAAGTATTTTCTCCATTTGTGGCTTATCTTCACTTCAGAAAACACTACTTTTATTTTAAAGGTATTTTAAAAATTTATTTATTGTATTTATTTATTTTATTATTATTTTTTTTTAAAGAGTAAAGGGCATCTTGCTGATTATTATTTTTTTTTTTTTGCTGTACGCGGGCCTCTCACTGTTGTGGCCTCTCCTGTTGCGGAGCACAGGCTCCGTACGCACAGGGCCCGTGGCCATGGCTCACGGGCCCAGCCGCTCCGCGGCATGTGGGATCCTCTCGGTTCGGGGCACGAACCCGTGTCCCCTGCATCGGCAGGCGGACTCCCAACCACTGCGCCACCAGGGAAGCCCCCATTGTATTTATTTTTGGCTGCATTGGGTCTTTGTTGCTGTGCGCGGGCTTTCTCTAGCTGTGGGGAGTCGGGGCTACTTTTCATTGCAGTGCGTGGGCTTCTCATTGTGGTGGCTTCTCTTGTTGCAGAGCATGGGCTCTAGGCGCCCAGGCTTCAGGAGTTGTGGCTCACGGGCTCTGGAGAGCAGGCTCAGTAGTTGTGGTGCACGGGCTTCGTTGCTTCGTGGCATGTGGGATCTTCCTGAGCCAGGGATTGAACCCGTGTCCCCTGCATTGGCAGGCGGATTCCTAACCACTGTGCCACCAGGGAAGCCCCTAATATAGTGTATTTTCATTTTCATTCAGTTCATTCTAAATAGCAGATATTTAAACCAATGTGGCTTTAATTAAAGAGAATAATATTTGGATTTTCTTTTCATATATTTCATGCAAAGGGAAAATCAAATAATTATAAGAAGTTCATTTCAAGTTATATTATCTAAGGAACATCTTTCTTTTACATATCTTTATTGCTTATTAGATTTTTTAAAAATTTTATTTATTTATTTGTTTTTTGCTGTGTTGGGTCTTCGTTTCTGTGCGTGGGCTTTCTCTAGTTTCAGTGAGCGTGGGCCGCTCTTCATTGCGGTGCACGGGCCTCTCACTGTCGCGGCCTCTCTTGTTGCGGAGCACAAGCTCCATACGCTCAGGCTCAGTAGTTGTGTCTCATGGGCCTAGTTGCTCCGCGGCATGTGGGATCTTCCCAGACTAGGGCTCGAACCCGTGTCCCCTGCAATGGCAGGCAGATTCTCAACCACTGCGCCACCAGGGAAGCCCCTGCTTATTAGATTTTAAAAAGTAATGCATGTTATTTAAAAAGCAAATACAAAGATATGTATTTAGAGTGTGAAATTTAAATGGTTAAATTTTGAAAGGAAATGTTTGGTTTAAAATAATGAAATTTTTGTTCTTTAGGAATGAAGACTGACCTGAACTTATTATTGGAGTGTCTGAAGTATCAAATGGACAATGCTTTTTCGCAAAAGGAAGCTCTGGTCACTATTCATTCAATTTGCCAACAAAACAGTAAGACATGATAGTGAATTTTTATTTGTGATTCTAGTTGTTTAGTATTGTGATATATGAAATATGCATAGTTCTTTCTCTTCTACTCAGTTATTTTACATATTATGTTACTGGGTTCATGTGATTTATTGTCCTTAAAATAATAATTACAATAAATATTCTTCTTTGTTTTGTCTGCACACTCTACAGGTAATGCAGGTCTTTATTTTCGGGAAATTGGTGGTTTGATGTTTGTAAAAGATCTTGCAAAGTCAAGTGAACATAGTATGGTAAAAGAAGCAGCATTATATACATTAGGAGCTGTTGCAGAACAAAATGGTAAAATAAGAAAACTTTATTTCACTATCCTTTAATCATTGTGTTATACTTCAACAAACTACTAAAAAATAATTTTAGAATTCAATTCCTTTTTTACATGTCTGGATAGTTTTTTCCAGGTATTTTATTTAAATTAATGCATACCAAAGATTTTATTTATCTTATTAACTAATGAGGGAACGAGTGAAATGTTACAACTGTTTCAAAAGTAATGGCAAAAAACAATACTATAGGCATTTGGGAAAGCTGAAATTTAGGAATAGGCACATAACTGGTCAGTGTCTGCAGGTTAAAAATCAATTATGTTCTACCAGTCGAAATGTTTTGCATTTCTGTGGACAAGAATAACTTGCATTAATATCAGTTTTCTACAATTTACAGAGTTATAAAATAGCCCAAAGACAGTAAAAGACAAATAATCTAGAAGGGTGTGCTAGACAGGACATTCAGTAATTGTTATCATCCATTTCAAAATCTTTCACAATTTTTCTTGCCATTAGTTGGAAACATTTTTTTTACTTTGTCTTTTACTATGCTTTTTTTTTGCCATATGAATGTTTTTTATTTTTATAAAAATAAAAATTCATCATTCTTTCTCTTTTTTGCTTTTGGATTTTGAATCATAAGAAAATTTTCCATACTCCCAGATTACAGGGGAATCCACCCATGTTTTCTTTTGGTACTTGTATGATTTTATTTTTTAGTTATACATGTTTTATTCTTTTTGAATTTTCCTGGGATATGATGTGGTGAAGGTTCCAGTTTTATCTTTTTTTTAATATGGCAATCCAGCTATCCCAACACTTCTTATTAAAGTAGATCTTTTTCACTTTGATTTGAGATGCTACCATTATCACTTAATGAGTCTATTTCTAGTTTTTCTATTCTGTTCATTATCTATATATCCAGGTACTTGAATCAAAATATGAAGATAACTTACAGCTATCTTTCATGTGGATAAATATGCTTTCTGTATGGCCAACAAAAACATGTTTCTGTAGCATACCTGAAATGAGGTTAAATCTAAACTATTAGTTTGTCAAATAACTTTATATTCTTATATTTTCAACCGTTAAATATTTCTTCACCACTTGTTGAGAACCAAGCTGTGTGCTAGGCATTGGGGATAAATAAGACATTGCCTTTGCCTTTGAGAGTGTCTAAAAGCTATTCTAGACACTGGATATATGTGTTCAAATTATTTTTTAAAAGTTCTGCTTATTGCATGATTATCACCAAAAAGCCTCTCCTGTCGTGTAGGTATCATTTTTGTCTTTGGGAAAGATATTTTTATATCTAGAAAAGTCTTTAAAAATACCACAAGTATCATTTGTCCTTCTTTTCTAAAGCAGGTTTCTGAATTTTCTTAAATTTTTCTTTGGCTATGTTTTGTTACTTATCGTCAATTTTTTGGTCATGTTTTATTTTAAATTTTTGTTCAGTTAGGCTTTTATTGGAAATTCTGTGAGATTGCAATACATGTTTAGAACCTAGTCAACTACTTCTGATTAAAATATTGCTTCTTTGGTCTGTTAATTGAGTAAGCACATAAGTTTGTCAGAATTTGTTTTATGACTAATAAATGTCAGTGGAATGAGAATTGGTTGAGAATTGTCCATATGGCAATTTTATATTTTGTTCAGCATATTTTAAAACTTGTCTGTGCTAATACATAGAAATTAAAATTATATTTTCATATTTCAGTTTACTGTCAGCAGACTTTGTGCACTTCAGAATTGTTTGAAGACTTAACTTGGTTCTTATCTAACAATGATTCAAACACAAATTTGAAAAGAATGTCTGTCTATGTTATTTTGGTTCTAGTTTCAAATAATAGTAAGTACATTCTCTTATGTTATGGAAATATTTTTAAAATAATAAATTGGAACAGTCATTATTAGTCCTTTTATTCTAGTCTTTATGTCAGTACCTTTTTTAATCTTACTAACTTCTGAGAACTACAGCTTTAAAGAAAAGAGAATTAATAGCATGCATTTAATTGTTTGATATTTATTAATTTAGTATTTTAAAAAATACTAAAGTGATTTGCATTATTTAATTAACATTGAAAAGAAACAGCTTTAAAAGCAAAAGGGGAGCGTTTAATGAATTAGTTTGGTTGATTTTCCACTGAATTGGCCATTTAATTATCATTGTATTTAAGGTCATTTTATCAGTCAGCAATGGTGTTAAATTTCATGTATCTCTTGGCGAAAGTTTTACTTTGTTTTTGTTGTTGTTGTTTTAGTTTTTATTTTGGAACAATCTTAGATTTACAGAAAAGTTGCAAGGGTAGTGTATAGAGTGTTCCTGTATACCTATTGCCCAGGCTAAGGTTATTTTATTAACATTGCTTATTTAAATCTTCAAATTGTTAGAAATATTATATGCATTTTAAATGCGTCTAGATTTTATTTTTTCTATTTTTATGTTTTGAATTAATTTTTTTTCTATTTTGGAACATATTTTGGTATTGTAACACAGAACCATGCAAAATAAGTGTTTTGCAATTTTTAGAGGAAATTTGAATACTATCATTCTCTAAACGTAAGTAATGTATTTTCCGTAATAATCTTGATTACAGATTTTTACCTACTGTAATTCTCTATTGTACTTTATAATACTTTAAAGTGACTGAAAGTTATTTATTAAAAATACTACTGGGCTTCCCTGGTGGTGCAGTGGTTGAGAGTCCGCCTGCCGATGCAGGGGACACGGGTTCGTACCCCGGTCCGGGAAGATCCCACATGCCGCGGAGCGGCTGGGCCCGTGAGCCATGGCCGCTGGGCCTGCGCGTCCGGAGCCTGTTGCTCTGCAATGGGAGAGGCCACAACAGTGAGAGGCCCGCGTACCGCAAAAAAAAAAAAAAGCTACTTAAAAAAATACTACTTAAATGTTGTTCTCCATTTCTACAAAATTATTTTCTAAACAGAAGTCATATTCATGTAATATATGGCTATTTTTTTAAGGGACTGGACAGACGCTTGTGAGAGAAACAGGTTGTATTTCAGTTCTATCACAGTTGTTCAAGTAAGTAAATATACATTTCTTGTTATTAATTATTGATTTCTTAAGACCTTAACACATTTGTATTAATTACTTCCTTTTCTATTTAACCTAATAGGACAGTCCTTTCAAAATATGAGTTGAATTTGTCAGATGAAAATGTTTTCCAGAGTTATCAGTTGTGGTCTTCAGTGTGTAGTACTCTGTGTGTCTGTGTCAACAATCCTCAAAATGGTAATTATCTCAAATATTTACATATAAAAATAAAGATAAAAACAAATAAAAAACTGATATTTTCCAAGTATATTAAAATATGATTGCCTTTTTCTCCTTTCAGATGAAAATCAAATGCTTTGCTCTTCACTTTTTCCACATGCTAATGACTGGCTAATAAATTGCACGAAACCTGAGATAATTCGCCCTATTTGCTCATTTATTGGACTCACTCTTGCAAATAACAGTAAGTATTCATTATTCTCTAGGTTATACTTTAAAAAACATATTTTAAAGCATAACAAAAACCTATTGAATTAATGAATTCCAGTAAGTTGTGTCATTTTGGATCCATTTATACTATTGTATAAGTTAAAATCTTATACATAGAAAATCTTAAAAATAGATGTTGTTAAGAAGATATGGGAAGATGGTGGTGGCAGCATAGTTTTGAGTCTTCCCATATATCCTCACAAAACAAAACACCTACACAGCAAAACTGTAAAAACCCACAGAGAGTGTTCTCTGACCACATAGAATTAAATTAGAAATTAATAAAAGTAAAACATCTAGAAAAGTCCCTAATATCTAGAAATTAAGCAACACAGTACTAAAAAAACCCACATCAAAATAAAAATACAAACCTATGAATCACAAATCATAAAGGAAATTAGAAATGTTTTTAACTTAATGGTAATGAAAACACAAAATTAAACAGTGGGATGCTGCAAAATCGGTGTTTAGATGGAAATTTATAGCAATAAGGCTTGCATAGGAAAGAAGGAAGGTCTCAAATCAATTATATTAGTTTCCACCTAAGAAACTAGAAATCAGAGCAAGTTAAACTCAAAGTAAGCATAACAAAGGAAATAACAAAGAGAAGATTAGCAATCAATGAAATAGAAAAAGAACAGAGTAATCAATTAAACCAAAAGCTAGTTCTTTGAAAAGATCACTAAAATGGATCCTTTACCCAGACTAACCACGAAATAGAAGGCCCAAATTATAAGAGATGAGAGATGACATCTCTATATCTTAACAGATATTAACAGGATAACAAAGGAATAGTAGAAACAACCTTATGCCATTAAATTTGATAACTTAAATGAACTGGACAAATTCTTTGAAAGACACAAACTACAAAAGCTCACTCAAGAAGAAATAGATAACCTGAATATTCCTATATCTAATAGTGAAATTGAATTTGTAGTTTAAAACCTTAACACAGGAAATTCCAGGTCATAAAGGCTTCACTGGGGCTTCCCTGGTGGCACAGTGGTTAAGAATCCGCCTACCAGTGCAGGGGACATGGGTTTGAGGCCTGGTCCGGGAGGATCCCACATGCTTCAGAGCAACGAAGCCTGTGCGCCACAACTGCTGAAGCCTGTGCTCTAGAGCCCACGAGCCACAACTATGAGCCTGCAAGCCACAACTATGAGCCCACATGCCACAACTACTGAAGCCCACGTGCCTAGAACTTGTGCTCCACAACAAGAGAAGCCACCACAATGAGAAACCCGTGCACTGCAATGAAGAGTAGCCCCAACTCGCCACAACTAGAGAAAGCCTGCACGCAGCAACAAAGACCAAACGCAGCCAAAAATAAATAAAAGAAAAGAAAAAAGGCTTCACTGGTGCATTCTACCAAACATTTAAGGAAAAAAAATTCTACATAAATTATTCCAGGAAATACAAGTAGAAGAAACACTTCCCAACAAACTTTTAAGGGCAGCATTATTTCCACACTAAATCTTGAAAAAGACATTACAAGAAAACTGTAGCCCAATATCCTTTATGATCATAGATGCAAACATCCATAACAAAATATTAACAAATCAATCCAGCAATATATAGAAAGGATAATATATTCTGACCAAGTGGCATTCACTTTAGACATGCAAGATTGGTTTAACATTAGGAAATTCACAATATACATAGACTAGAAAAGAAAAACTATATGATCTCCAAAGGTGCAGGAAAAGCTTTTCACATAATTCAACATACATTCATGACAAAAGATTTTGGTAAGCCAGGAATAGAAGGGAACTTCCTCAATGTGATGAAGGGCTTCTACAAAGTACTACAGCTAACATACTTAAATGGTGAAAGACTTAATGCTTTCCCCCTAAGATTGTAAAAAAGACAAGGATGGCCACTCTCATTATTTGACTGGACATCCAAGTCAGTGCAGTAAGGCACAAAAATGAAATAAAAGGCATAGAGATTGAAAAGGAAGAAGAAAATATAGTATTTATTCATAGATGACATGATTGTCCAAAGAATCTACAAAAAGCTACAGAGCTAATAAGCGATTTTAGCAAGGTTGCAGGATACAAGGTCATATACAGAAATACTAGCAACACTTGGGAACTTAAAGTAACTGCCATTTACAATAATATTAAAAAAACAAAATACTTAGGGGTACATTTAATGATTTCATCTGCTATATCTATATGCTGAAAACTATAAAACATTGCTGAGATAGAACTTTAAATTAATGGGAGAGATATCATATTCATGGATTGTAAGATTCAATATTGTTATACTGTCACTTCTCAAATTCACCTCTAGATTCTTGGCACTCCCCATCAAAATCTCAACGGGCTTTTCTGCAGAAATTGACAAGCTGATTCTAAAATTTACATGGAAATGCAAAGGGGCTAGGATAGTCAAAATTATTTTGAAAAAGGACAAAATTGTAGGGTTTATATTACCTGATTTCAATACTTACTATACAGTAATCAAGAGTGTAGCATTGGTGTAAGTGTAGACATAGATCAATGGAAAAAGTAGAGAACCTAGAAATAGACATATATATATGATTGATTTTCTACGAATGTTGATTTTCTATAAAGGTGCCACAGTAACTCTGTGTTGGAAAAGGTAGAAACAAATGGTGCTGGAAAAAGTACTTATCTATCTGTGAAATATGAAGCTCAACCCTTACCTTACACAGTATACACAAATTAACTTGAAATGATCCCTACACCTTAATGTAAGAACTAAAACTATAAAACATCTAGACAAAAACATATCTTTATAATTTGGGAGTAGACAGATTTCTTAGGACACAAAAAGCATGAGCCACTAAAGAAAAGATTATAAATCGGACTGCACTGAAATTAAAATCTTTTACTCTTCAAAAGATCCTGTTAAGGTGAAAAGGCAAGCCATAGAGTGGGAGAAAATATTTGTGAAATGTACATCTGATAAAGAACTTGTACCCAGGAAAACCCCAAGGAGATAGCCCTATACACCCACTAGCATGGCTAAAAGTAGAAAGGCTAGTGATATTAAATAGTGATGAGGATGTGGAACAACTAGAACCTTCTCACATGTTCCTGGTGTGTATCTATATTCAGATGTTTAAAGCAAATAGTCATGTTTCACATGCAAAGGAACATATCTCTATAATTTCAAAAATTGAAATCTATTTCCATGATGCTTTGACATTTCCTCTTTCTTTAAGTACCAACTTAGATGAGTAACACTGCTGTGTCCTACTTATAGGACCTTATTACTCTCAGCAAACTGACATGAAATAGATTAGAGGTAATTTGAAATATTCAGTGTACAGGTGTAGACTAGGATGTTCTTCTGCTTATAAGCCTGAATTTTCATTACATAGACTATAAATGAAAATCTTTGTGGTAACATAGTGCCCAATTTCATCTAAGAATTTTAAGATACTTCCTTTTTTAAAGATTTTTTTAATGAAAATACTTTGTAGTAAAGAAGCCTATTTTGGAGTCTCCATAATATTGAAAATGTTTGCTTATCCTTAAATAACATTTCCTAACAGTTCTGTTCTGATGTAGAAATTTTTGAACATGATTTTTTTAGATTAAGATTTTTGTGTTTTATTGAACAATACAAAAAGTAATTTTTGTGTTTAAATCATCCTGGCTCAATTTGTGGTACTAGGGTAGACTGGGAAGAAGGTTTGTGACAGAATTATAATCACTAGTCCATATATCCATTTGATATATGCCCATTGCTGGGATAGGGGCTGTTGAATTCACAGACCTGTGGGGTACTTTGCCATCAGAATCATTTCCTACAGGGGAACAAAAGACTAAATGCTTTTTAAAAATGTATCTGTCATCCAATCTTTGCTTGGAATAGTTGTTATGACTCTCAACAATATGTTATACTTTTATGCTCCAAGAAGTAAAAGAATTAGGCTTAAATAAGATGGATGAAATATGTGGTTTTTTTGAAACAGTTAATTTTCTCTGCCCTTTGTTGATTCAGATTTGAGGAATGAGTTATGTTGGAATTCAGAAAGTAGTCAGCCTGCTAATTGTAATACCAAGCTAAATGAATGAATCTATTCTTTATAGCTCTTGAAGGACTTGAATTTAATGTCATTCTTGCAAAATATACCAGTTCTTGCTAAATGAAACAAGATATCTAACATACAAGAAAGAAGTACTGTACTATACATGTAGTTGTACTATGTCAAAGTGAGTTTCTTATGTAAGTAAATAAAATCAATCTTGTGATTATGTATATGCACAGGTAAAGATTGGATTTTTCATTTGGGGATTTTTAGTAAGTATTTTAAAAAGTCAAGTTAATGTTATATTTAGTGCAAATTAATTTAATGAAACCATATACTTGTTTGAAGTATAATAGTTCTGCTACTTTATTCCTTAAGCATACGTGCAGAAATACTTTATATCTGTGGGTGGACTGGATATATTGTCTCAAGTTCTTGTGCAGTTGGAATCTGATTCACACAAGACTCTTTCCAGTGCTAAGCTTGCAGTGGTGGTGACAAAGACAGTGGATGCATGTATTGCTGATAATCGTGAGTGAAAACACTTAGTAATTTTTCTGCAATTGCATTTTGCTTCAATTCAGCATGGTGAATGTTAAAATGATAGATTGAACGCTAACATGGATTGGACTTCCAGTTTCTCATAAGTGGGAGAGAAACTTAGAAATTATCTAATCCAACTCCTTATTTTCTCATGGAGGTTATGACTTCCCTAAGAATTCAAATCTAGGTCTTCTGAGTTCAGGTTTGATGATAGAATCAAGATAAGAGTCTGTCAGTCCTAAACCTTTGTTTCACTTAAAAAGCTGCATTAAATGAAAAAGTTTACTCCACATGGCCCGTGCCAATGCCCGGCTCTTTGGCATCCGGGCAAAAAGGGCCAAGGAAGCCGCAGAACAGGATGTTGAAAAGAAAAAATAAAGTGCTATTGGCAACTTGTGATAAAAAAAAAATTTTAGATGAGAAATCAAGGGACATTTTGGAGACATAGGGAATGGAAAGCCCAATTTATAGATTTTAAAAAGTGAGATAAAGAATTAAGGTATGCCTCTATCTGATAAGTGTGAGATAGACTTACCCTACTGTAACCAGTGAGTAACAGAACCACACTTGAACTCATGGCTGCTTCTCACATGTACAGATACTGAGGAATGATAGTCTATAAATCTCTGTAACTCTCGACATTCACAAATAACTGAAAAAAATAGATCATTTTTTAAAAAATCAGTTATTTAGGGCCTGCTATGTGCTGGGCTCTATGTGAGCTCTAGAGATACAAAAATTATTAAGATGTAGTCTGCTGAGGAATTCACAACCTTTTTGTTGCTGTCAGTAGTTAGACTCTGAACTCTGTTACAAAAGAAAAAAAAAAACACCACACATACACACGAAGAACAAAACCGTGAGAAGTGTAGCTTAAATTGGTGGACTTCTTGAATTTTTCACATCTCAGTATAGCTTCAGGTATGCTCCACTGCATCATTAACGTCAGTAGAACCGTGGCCAGTTAATAGTGTATTTCAATGACAGGCAGGAATCGATTTCATAGGAAGGTCTTTACTGTCAATCTAGATAAGAGGAGGAATGTAAGGTGAGAGTAAGTAGCTTTTAGGAAGGTAGTATTATTACTTCATATTCACAACATTATGCAGGACAACTTAGAAGAAAGCATTCTTCAAAAAACTTGCTTTAGTATAATGTCTTTAGTATGGGAAGAGGAATTAATGAGGGCTATATAAGCCACCATTTTATTACAATGAATTTGTTTATAGTCACACATATATATACATATATATTAGATGTTATATGAGATGTGAATTTTAGATATTATGTAGTTACATAATGTCATTCTCCCAGGATAAGATCTGAAAAATAGTATAATGTAATATCTGGAAAATACTATATGTATAGCTATACGTTTTAAGTTTGTACTTGTTCTTTTTTTCCTGTTTTAGCTACTTTTGGGGTAGTACTATCCAAGTACCACATTGTTTCAAAACTTCTAGCATTACTGCTTCATGAAAGTCTGGATTCAGGAGAAAAATTTAGTATCATACTTACTGTTGGTCATTGTACAGAGGATTGTAGTAAGTATTGGATTTATTTTGTGTGTTAGTTAAAACGGTGGAGTGGAAATACACTATTCCTTCCCACCCACCCAGCTTAAAAGTATTGCCTTTCTCCTAATCCCCAAACCAGTCATTTTGCTCCTCATCCTTCTTCAGCCGTGGTATTCAGTCAGTCCCTAAGACCTGTGGCTCTACTTCTGTTTACCCCCTCCTTATTCCCTTCTGCTCAATTCCAGTGCTATTTTCCCCATTTAAGCCCTCAGCCCCTCAACATCTTTCACCAATGTTATTACAATAGATTCCTCCCTGTGTCCTCTTCCTTCTATCTCCATTTTTCAATCCACTCTTCACACTGCTGCACAGATACGATCCTGTTTTTCCTTGTTGAAAACCTTAGAAAGTTCTTTCTTTCTCTACTTATCATTCTCTCCTCTCTCTCTTTTTTCTCTTCCCCTTCCGTTTTCTCCTTCTCTCCACTTTCCTGCCATTCTTCCTCTTTCCACTTTCCTCCTTTCCAACCCTCTTCACTTTTTTTTAAAATAAATTTATTTATTTTATTTTTGCATTGGGTCTTTATTGCTGTATGTGGGGTTTCTCTAGTTGCAGCAAGAGGGGGCTACTCTTCGTTGTGGTGCATGGGCTTCTCATTGCAGTAGCTTCTCTTGTTGTGGTGGCTTCTCTGTTGCGGTGGCTTCTCTGTTGGAGAGCACGGGCTCTAGGCATGCGGGCTTCAGTAGTTGTGGTGCACGGGCTTAGTTGCTCCGTGGCATGTGTGATCTCCCCAGACCAGGGCTTGAACCCGTGTCCCATGTATTGGCAGGCGGATCTTAACCACTGCGCCACCAGGGAAGTCCCCCAACACTTTTCACTTTCCTCTCTCCTTTCTCCCTTCCTCCAATCTCCTCTCTCTCCTCCTCCCACTTTTCCACTTCCCTCTTTTTATTCTCTCTTGCTTCTTCTGCTCTCTCTTCCCTCATTTTCCATTCTCTCCATTCGTTTATTTCTCTATACTTTCTCTTCACCTCTGTATAATTTAGGATTCACTATACCTTTAAAATTTTAATTTAATTTTTATTTTTTTATTGAGGTATAATTGACAACAAAACCTTTTTTTAAACCAAGTGAGGGCAGTTTCTTTACTCTTATGATGTGTGACACTGCTCTGTGGCTGTGTTTATCACTGTGTTTAAGAGATTATCACTTATGAGACTTAGGTATCTTATATAAGTAGATTATTTTCTAAATTGAAAATACCTTTAAACTTTGTTTTTCTGTATCTTAAAATTTGAACTATGTTCATAATTATCACAAGGAAGAATTATGACCTCATGCATATAGTTTAAGATAAAATAACTATTGGGAATTCCCTGGTGGTCCAGCGGCTAGGACTCTGCACTTCCACTGCCGGGGCCGGGATTCAATCTCTGGTCAGGGAACTAAGATCCTGCAAGCCGCGCAGTGTGGCCAATAAATAAATAAATAAATAAATAAATAAAGTAACTATCTTCTGCTTTAATCTTTGATGTGTTTTCCAGAGGAAAATCAGTATGACCTTTTTAAAAGCAATGGGCTTCCACTCATGATACAAGTCTTAACTGAATCTCAGGACGAGGAACTAAACAAAGCTGCCACTTTTGTGCTTCACAACTGCAAAAAAATTAGTAAGTTTACTATTACTTTAAAAAAATACTAACCAAACTTTATGCAAGAGAATTATATCTGCTTTGATGAACCAAGCCCCTTTAGCTCCCAAGCTCTTCTTACATTTGAAAAGCAGATTATATAATTTTGACGTGACAACTAGAGTACTACAGCGTGTAAAAAACTTATATGGAAGAGAACAACAGTATAGATAATTCACTTATTTAATGCAGTGTGGACAGATTTAGCTGTAGGACTTAAATTTGAGGGCTACAAGTGACTTATGATTAAATCATAACATAAAATACCTTAATTTATTTATTTAAAAAATGTTTGAGTGTCTCTTATTTGCCAGGCACTGTGCTAGGCATTAGGGATACAGTGATAAGAAACAATAGTCTATGTGTTTACAGAGGTTAGTGTAACTACAGAAATAGGTAGTAATTGAATAATCCCAAAAATGAATGTGTTATTATAAATTAACGTACAGGTTAAGAATGGATGGAGCACAGATCTTAACCTGTAACAGGGACTGTGACCTAGACTTGGAGCAGAAAAGGCTTTGGGAGGAAGTGATTCTTCATCTGAAATCTGAATGTAGAGAGTTAATTAGGTGAAAAGAAGGGAGTTTGTTATGGTCCAGTGTCTCAGGCATACGCAACAGTGAGGCACAAATGTCCTGTGAGAGGAGGGAGCCTGGTGCATTGAAGGAATTGATGGCTGAAGCATAGAGAAAGTGGCCATGAAAAGGATTTTGGTCTTTTGGGAGAAAACTGCTGCCACAATATGTAAAAAGAGAATTTAAAAGAATATAGGAAGGAACCACTTTATGGAAACTGTGTTAAAAAAAAAAAACTAAAACCAGTAGCCATAAACCTGAGGGTGTTTGTATGCCTAGCATAACATGTTTTCTTGCTATTTTCTTTTCTCTATAATTCTGAAGAGTAAAATCTAATTTATGACTCTTTGTGTCCTCAGCCTCTGCCAAGCACTTGCTTTCCACTTATTTTCAGTACCACTTAGGCAGTTAAGATGGTTTGGATGTGCAAAATTTAGAGAAGGGGGTATGGGGTATGAGTTTGTCTTTATTAAAAGTGTTAAAATAACATTTCTAGTAATGGATAAACTCCTATTTTTTCCCATATTATAAAGCTGAGAAGTTATCTCTAAGTCTAGGAGAATATTCTTTTGATGAAAATGAAGAACAATTAAAGGACATAAATATGAAAGAGAAGAATCTTGAAGATTACTGGAAGAAAGCGAAGGAAATTCTACACAGAATAGAACAGCTTGAAAGAGAAGGAAATGAGGTTGGCTTCTTTGTTTCAAAGAATGTAGAACTTTTTTCAAATATTTTTTAATAATACAGATTGGAGGGTAAAATATTTTTCTTGCCAAGTTACTTTTTATTTTAATGGTTTTAAATTTAAAATTCATTAGTAATACTTGAGGAATCATCCTTGAACACAGAAAAAATATTTTTAAAAAGTGGAAATGATGACTGAAAAAATAAGAGACATGGAAGATAGAGCCAAGAGATCTATCATTTGTATAATAAGCGTTCAAGAAGGAGAAAGAATGGAGAAGTAATAATCTCTCTCTCTCTGTATGTGTGTGTATATGTATACACACACATACAGTTGACCCTTGAACAGGTGTTTGAACTGCTTGAATCCACTCATACATGGATTTTTTTCAATGAATATGTACTACAGCACTACACAGTCTCAGGCTCTCAGTTTGGTTGATTCAATGGATGTGGAACTGTGGATATGAAGGGCTGACTGTAAAGTTATATGTGGATTTTCAACTGCCCCATGTTGTTCAAGGGTCAACTGTATATATACACGTTTATGTATGTATATATACACATACACACATTTCCATATTTTAAAAAAATAATTAATTTATTTATTTTTGGCTGCGTTGGGTCTTCGTTGCTGCCCCCAGGGTTTCTTTAGTTGAGGCGAGCGGGGACTACTCTTTGTTGCCATGTGTGGGCTTCTCATTGCAGTGGCTTCTCTTGTTGCCGAGCACAGGCTCTAGGCATGCGGGCTTCAGTAGTTGTGGCATGCTGCCTCAATAATTGTGGCTCGCGGGCTCTAGAGTGCAGGCTCTGTAGTTGTGGCTCACAGGCCCAGTTGCTCCACAGCATGTGGGATCTTCCAGACCAGGGCTCAAACCCATGTACCCTGCATTGGCAGGCAGATTCTTAACCACTGAGCCGCCAAGGAAACCCCATTTCCATATTTTTACTATGTATGTATGCTTTGTGTCTTTGTATGTGCATGCATTTAAAAAAATAAAAACACAGTATCTAATTTAGTATAGTAATTTTATTCTTTTAAATGACTGAGTAGTATTCAATATCATAGATTACCATATTTGATTTAACTAGTCTTTTATTGATGGACATTTAGAAAATATTTAATCTCTCACCAGTGTAACCAACTCTAGCGTAAGTATCCTGCTACATTTATATCTTTGTAAGAGCTTTATTGAGATATAAATCACATTCCATACAATTGACCCAGTTGAAGTATACATTTCATTGGTTTTTAGTATACTCACAGAATTGTGTGACCATTACCACATTTAATTTTAAAACATTTTTATCACCCCAAAAAAGAAACTCCATACCATTTAGCAGTCACCCTCTGTATTCCCCCATCCATCCTCCCCCAACCCTAGGCAACCACTGATCTATTTTTTGTCTCTCTGTATTTGTCTATTCTGGACTTTTTATATAAATTGAATTATATAATATGTGGTCTTTTGTGACTGACTTCTTTCATTTAGTGCATTTTCAAGGTTCATCCATGTTGTAGTATATATCAGTACTTCTTTCCTTTTTTAAAAAAATAGATTTATTGAGATGTAATTCATATACCATTTGCCTATTTAAAGTGTACAGTTCAGTAGTTTTTATTCACAGATATGTGCAATAATCACCAAAGTCAACTTTAGAATATTTTTATTCCTTCAAAAAGAAACTCTGTACCCTTTAGCTATTTCCCTGAACACTCTGATCCGCAGCCATAAGCAACCACCAATCTTCTATTCTAACTCTACAGATTTGCCTATTCTGGGTATTTCATAAGAATGGAATCACATAGTATGTGGTCTTTTGTAACTGGCTTCTTTCACTTAGCATGTTTTCAAGGCTCATTCATCTTTCAGCATGTATCAGTATTTCATTGCTTTTTATGGCCAAAGAGTTTTCCATTGTGTGTACTACATTTTACTTATCCATTTATCAGTTGATGGACATACTCTATTTTTTTAAATTTATTTTTAATTTATATATTTTTGGCTACATTGGGTCTTCGTTGCTGTGCGTGGGCTTTCTCTAGTTGCGGTGAGCAGGGGCTACTCTTTGTTGCGGTGTGCGGGCTTCTCATTGTGGTGGCTTCTCTTGTTGCGGAGCACAGGCTCTAGACGCGGGGATTTCAGTAGTTGTGGCTTGTGGGCTCTAGAGCACAGGCTCAGTAGTTGTGGTGCATGGACTTAGTTGCTCCGCGGCATGTGGGATCTTGCTGGACCAGGGATTGAACCCATATCCCCTGCATTGGCAGGTGAATTCTTAACTACTGCGCCACCAGGGAAGTCCCTGGACATACTCTTTTACCTATAGCCTATGTCTTTATAGTTAGCATGGGTTTCAGTATATAGTTTGGTCTTTATTATCCTGTGTATTTCTGCTTTTTAATTGATGTGATCATTTCATTACCATTTAATGTAATTACTGATATATTTGGGTTTAAGTCTACCATATTGCTATTTGCTTCCTGTTTGTCCCATTTGTTCTTTGTTCCTTTTATTCCTGCTCTCCTGCCACCTTTTATATTATTTTTAAATATTCTTCTATATTTCATGTTAGATTATTGGCTAAATATTCTTGGTTTTTTAAGGGATTGCTTTAGGATTTATAATACACATCTTTAACTCATCATGGTCTATATTCAAATAATATCATTCCACTCATGTAATATTGTAAGACCTTTGCAATAGTGTGCTTACATTTCCATTTGTTCTTTGTGCTATTGCCATACGTTTTACTGCTACATTTGTCATAAACTGCCCAGTAATATTATTTTTGCTTTAAACAGCTATCTTTTTTCTAAAAATATTTTAATGTTTAATAAAATAATATTTACATACAATGGTAATCACACATTTTAAGCATTCAGTTTGACTTATGATATATTTTCTTTTAATAATTTTTTTTTTTTTTTTTTTTTTTGCCGTACGCGGGCCTCTCACCGCTGTGGCCTCTCCCGTTGCGGAGCACAGGCTCCGGACGTGCAGACCCAGCGGCCATGGCTCACGGGCCCAGCCACTGCGCGGCATGCGGGATCCTCCTGGACCGGGGCACGAACCCGCGTCCCCTGCATCGGCAGGCAGTCTCTCAACCGCTGCGCCACCAGGGAAGCCCTATAATAATTTTTTTTATTCCACAAGAGATAATCTTTTAAGTTTTATTTATTTATTTTGAATTTTAAAATTTTATTTATTTTTTTATACAGCAGGTTCTTATTAGTTATCCATTTTATACATATTAGTGTGTATATGTCAATCCCAATCTCCCAATTCATCCCACCACCACTGCCCCCCCCCCGCCACTTTCCCACCTTGGTGTCCATACATTTGTTCTCTACATCTGGGTCTCTATTTCTGCCCTGCAAACCGGTTCATCTGTACCATTTTTCTAGGTTCCACATATATGCATTAATATATGATATTTGTTTTTCTCTTTCTGACTTACTCACTCTGTATGACAGTCTCTGGGTCCATCCACGTCTCTACAAATGACCCAATTTCGTTCCTTTTTATGGCTGAGTAATATTCCATTGTATATATGTACCACATCTTCTTTATCCATTTGTCTGTTGATGGGCATTTAGGTTGCTTCCATGACCTGGCTATTGCAAATAGTGCTGCAATGAACATTGGGGTGCATGTGTCTTTTTGAATTATGGTTTTCTCTGGGTATATGCCCAGTAGTGGGATTGCTGGGTCATATGGTAATTCTATTTTTAGTTTTTTAAGGAACCTCCATACTGTTCTCCATAGTGGCTGTATCAATTTACATTCCCACCAACAGTGCAAGAGGATTTCCTTTTCTCCACACCCTCTCCAGCATTTGTTGTTTGTAGATTTTCTGAGGATGCCCATTCTAACTGGTGTGAGGTGATACTTCATTGCAGTTTTGATTTGCATTTCTCTAATAATTAGTGATGTTGAGTAGCTTTTCATGTGCTTCTTGGCCATCTGTATGTCTTTGGAGAAATGTCTATTTAGGTCTTCTGCCCATTTTTGGATTGGGTTGTTTGGTTTTTTAATACTGAGCTGCATGAGCTGCTTATATATTTTGGAGATTAATCCTTTGTTCGTTGATTTGTTTGCAAATATTTTCTCCCATTCTGAGGGTTGTCTTTTCATCTTGTTTGTAGTTTCCTTTGCTTTGAAAAAGCTTTTAAGTTTCATTGGGTCCCATTTGTTTATTTTTGTTTTTACTTCCGTTACTCTAGGAGATGGATCAAAAAAGATATTGCTGTGATTTATGTCAAAGAGTGTTCTTCCTATGTTTTCCTCTAAGAGTTTTATAGTGTCCAGTCTTACATTTAGGTCTTTAATCCATTTTGAGTTTATTTTTGTGTATGGTGTTAGGGAGTGTTCTAATTTCATTCTTTTACATGTAGCTGTCCAGTTTTCTCAGCACCACTTATTGAATCGAAGAGACTGTCTTTTCCCCATTGTATATCCTTGCCTCCTTTGTCATAGAGTAGTTGACCATAGGTGTGTGGGTTTATCTCTGGCTTTCTATCCTGTTCCATTGATATATATTTCTGTTTTTGTGTCAGTACCATATTGTGTTGATTACTGTAGCTTTGTAGTATAGTCTGAAGTCAGGGAGTCTGATTCCTCCAGCTCCCTTTTTTTCCCTCAAGACTGCTTTGGCTATTTGGGGTCTTTCGTGTCTCCATACAAATTTTAAGATTTTTTGTTCTAGTTCTGTAAAAAATGCCATTGGTAATTTTTTTTTTTTTAAGATGTTGGGGGTAGGAGTTTATTAATTAATTTATTTATTTTTGCTGTGTTGGGTCTTCTTTTCTGTGCGAGGGCTTTCTCTAGTTGTGGTAAGCGGGGGCCACTCTTCATCGCGGTGCGCAGGCCTCTCACTATTGCGGCCCCTCTCGTTGCGGAGCACAGGCTCCCGATGCGCAGGCTCAGTAGTTGTGGCTCATGGACCCAGCTGCTGCGCAGCATGTGGGATCTTCCCTGACCGGGGCACGAACCCGTGTCGCCT